ACATATCAACAGATATCAACATATGTCGCATTCTGAATGAGTGATATACAGAGAATTTGTCAATGTTGATGCAACTAGCTGTCAAGACTTTCCTAGCGGGCATTACATCAAACACTTGATAGGCACAAAAGAGATTTGAACTGAACATTCGGAATGTCTTCAAAAGATCTTCACATATATTTTTTGGACTTCACATGGTCATGGGACCACCTAAGAAATATGATATATAGAAAACTATAAATATAAATATAAAAAATAAGGAAGAATAGAAAATAGAATTTTATAATTTTGAAACATATTGGATATTTGAATATTATAGAACCTGTACACCATCCCCTTGGGGTGGTGAAGGGAGGGCCCCAATTGGTAGAAAAACCCGATGGTTCGTATCATTAAATTGATCTCCCAACCAATTTTCTTCCCATATTATGTTAGGCCAAGAAAAACTAGTGAACTCATTTGCAAGTGATGTGATGTCCTCCATGATATTCTTCAGCATTCTAAGTCACCGAACACAATTCCTTAATTTTGCAAGCCTATGAGCTTCACGAGAGCAACTGCCACTAAGACTTGATTGACGAGCATCATTTGTCTCTAATTACGAAGCCCACAGCCGCACTATAACTAGGGATAGGCAACGGTTATAGCAGACGGGTAACCGCAATTATTTATCCATAACCGTTTATTCTCATATCCGCATAACCGTTTACCCGTTGGGTAATTATCTAAACGGTTATACCCATACCCATAACCGTTTATAAACAGTTAACCATACCCATAACCGTTTATAAACAGTTAACCATACCCATAACCGTGTACCCATTTAACCGTAACCGTTTAGTACCCATTTACCAATTTATCATTTTTAAACCCGTTTATCCTTTCTTTTTTACCATTTACTCATTTTTCACCCGTCTACGTGTTTTTTTAACAACTTAAAAATTAAAAAAGAAAAATTTGTCATAATTTTCTTTTTCTAACAATTAAACACCGCTACAGGTACATTCATCATACGTTTCCTCATTTTAATTTTTTAAGTCCTTATACCATTCCAATAATTGAAATAATAATAGTTTACAGACAATATTTTTAACTGTTAGCAATGAAGGTAATATAAAATTTGCTAAGTATTCTTGGGTTACGAAAACTGTTAAAAGACAGTATTTTTGGGTTATTTAACTCAGAATGTAAAATATTAACATAATATATATAATGGACCATGAAATTTAAAGTGGTTAAGGAAAACTATATTATATTAGCTATAGAAATCATGCACTATAGACAATAGCATTGATCTAAGTTTTGTCTGATAGGGAACTTGGTTTGTGTTAATTTTACATATATAAAATAAATGGGTAAATGGTTATTCATTTATAAATGCGGTTAATACTCATAACCGTTTATTTATCTAAACGGTTACCCATAACTGTAACCGTGAAATTTAAAAGGGCGGGTAACCGTGGTTACTCATAACCGATGCGTATCTGCCCATCCCTAACTATAACCACAGAAAAACCCATCAAATTCGCTTTTAAGTGGCAATTGAGGTCAGGTTTTAAGTTTCCTGATTTTTCTAAAATGTCACCCTATATCCAATTACTTTAGTTGATTTTCTGATATAGCGATAACATTTATATTAAGGAATGAAGGAATTAATATCGAATTAATTATTCATGAAATCTAAACCTAATATCTCTCATTTGCAAATAAAAAGAAATACAACTAAATTGGAATACTAAGTGGGATCATTTTAGCTGATTTTAATTCAACGTTTTTTTTTTTCCAAACAAACAATATTATCTACACTAAAAGAGAGGGGGTGAGTTTAGCCTCACAATGGGCTAGCAATAATGTGGTTCAAATTCATTTTTGACAAGAATCGAACCTAACGTCTTACTTACAAATAAAGAAAAATATTACTAAACTGTAATACTAAGTAAATACTTTTATGCTCCCTTGGACTATGGGTCAGGATAATTTTGGACTTGCTATGTAATTTCTATGTAATTGCTATGTAATTTCCATATGTCAATTCTCCAGCCATTATATTTACATATTTACAGCCCGCTTTTCTATTTATCTATAAAATATCTTCCTAGTTATTCGGGGAACAGTAGGATTACAAAGAACAGTGACACCCAGCCATTAGGGTTTCCCATTGTAATACTGTGCCTCTGGTGAAGGCTATGAAATGAATATCCAGTTTTGTCCTTAATTTCTTTCTTGTTTTCCTTTTCTTTTCAAACGATCGCACCAAAAACTACGTACAATCTACTCCTAGGACCATGAAACCGTTGTCGATGGGATGTTTTTGTTTTATTTTCTAAGGGAGGGGTAACAAATATTAATAGTGCTGGATATGGTAACTTGGTTGACCTTAAGTCTACAACACAAGTCCAAACACAAATTATGCACATGCATCTCTCGTATACTGCGAGAGGTTGGTGAACAAACCCTCCCTAACTTAATTTAAATCTTAAAGAAGATTGGTTTAGGTGAATATGCAAAATGCAAACTATATTTCCACTATTATTCTTGGATGTGTTTATGCCATAATTTATGGATCTTAATTTGTATTGTTCCAGTACTTAGACCCCGCTCTCACCAAAATGAGTCTTTTTGAGGTACAATATGTAGATATTTTTATTGGTGTGGTTTGAGTTTCAAGATGTAATAGGCACATGTTATTAGCATTTTGAAAAAGTTATTTTGCATTTTTAATATAATACAAAAGAAGTAGTACACATTAATAAGTCTAGAATGACATTTCTAGGTGTAGAAAAATGTTATTCGCGCTCTAGTTAACATAAGTTTTCTTGTACCTATATCCAATCATATATGTGACGAGTGCAAACATCTTGTGATTCTTAACAGTAGTATTACTTGTATAAAAAAAAGGACTCACGGTTTTGATTCTCACTAATGTGGTAGTAATTCATCTCGTCATATTCTGACACTTTCAACCTCGTTTATTTACACAAATAAGATGTTCAGGTGAATAAGATGTTGCTATACACACACACACACACCAATGCTAGCTACAATTTTGTTCAGATATGATAAAATGTTTGGTTATCATGTCTCACTGAAACTCAAACTGGTGTCACAGAAATTTTTTTATTCCAAACTTTATATCAAGAAGTGTGATAAATCACGACATTATCTTATTTCATGAATATAAGTACAAGGTTTTGTTTGAGCCTCATTTTAGATTTTACAACAATGAATATAAGTACAAGGTTTTGTTTGAGCCTCATTTTAGATTTTACAACAATGAATCTCAAATTTTAGATTTTAACTAATGTTAAAGTATCATCTGTTCTTATTAGAATTCACTTTATGCCTTATTTATTTCTAAGTGGCAAACCTCATCGAGGGAAGAGTTTTTATCACAAATGGTCCCTGAAATCTATCCTTACCATCAAGATGTGGTTCCTGAAATTTTAAATCAACCAATATAATCCCTAAAAATATATGTCGCAAATCAATGTAGTCCTTCAGTCACAATTCTATTAAAAATTCTGTTAAGTGCTAATGTGGCACATAAATGGGTCCCACAAGATTTATTGGTTTTTTTTACAAATGGTCCCTGAAATTGACTCACATCATCAAGATGGTCCCTGAAATTGACCCAAATCATCAAGATGGTCCCTAAAATTGAAAATTGATGAATGTAGTCCTTGAAAATAGGTGTTGCAAATAAATACGATCCGTCCACAACAATTCTATAAAAAAAAAATTTGTTATGTGCTTATGGGTGATAATTAATTAAAAAAGTTGTCTACATACCATTTTGTACAATGGAATTTTTTTCTTATAGTAAGACCTACTCCAAAGAGAGATCCCTTCCATAAATTCTCAAAGGCACAAAGCTTAACCAAGGCCTAAAAGGGGGTTTGGAAATAGTTGTCAACCAATAATAGATGCACCTCGGTCATTACCTCATTATCTCAAGGTAGACCTCGTCGTTCTTTAAGTCACCAGACCACCAGGGAAGTGCCGAACAAGCTCCTTAAGATTAAGGTTGTGAGGATGTTGATTGCCTAAATATTAACAGTGATGTCCCAAAAGTCATTGCCAATCAACCAAGCCGTCACCAAGGGTGATCTTGATCCAGGTTCAATTCGGTGAAGGGTATCAAAGTGTGTAAAGATGGGTGTATCGAGATTTTTTTTTAAAGAATACAAAGTCAAGGAAATAGAGGAATGTGGACTAGGATCGGAGGTAATTATGGACTAGGTTTTTGGGTTCACAACTTTTTAATAACTATTAAAATATTAAACCTATTTGTAATTTTTTTAAATTTAATTAGACTTGTGTGATTCATTTATGTGTCACATCAGTACATATCAAAATTTTTGACAGAATTGTAACGGGATGACTACATTGATTTGAGACACTTACTTGCGGGACTACATTGATCGATTTTTAATTTTAGCAACCATTTTGATGTCGCAGGTCAATTTTAGGGATTATTTTGATGTCGCAAGTCAATTTTAAGGACCATTTGTGAGAAAAAAATGACTTAATGGAATTTTTAACAGAATTGTGACAGAATGACCACATTGAATTGAACACCTATTTTTAGGGACTACATTGATTGATTTTCAATTTCAATGATCATCTTGATGATGAGGGTCAATTTCAAGGATCATTTGTGATTAAAATCCTCACGGAAAACATTAACAAGTTTCTTTTGAAACCAAAAAAAATTGCCGTGTATTCTTCTTTCTATTATCTACATGATCTCTCTCTCTCTCTCTGTCTCTCTCTCTCTCTCTCTCTCTCAATCTCTCCTGTCAAAGTCTCATAAGCTTTCAAGGCAGTTCGAGAAGAAAATTTTAAGGTTAGAATAATTATATTAATTGTTTTGCTTAGTTGTTATAACAAGGTAATGTTTTGAATGTTTATAGCTTCAATAACTTCAGCATTTCTTTTTATGGGAACACATAGCTAGCTTTAGCATTTTAGAATGTATATATAGAAATAAGTACAAACCATAGAAAACATAAAATAAGATTCCACTACTTGAATATTACACAGAATTACAACGTACATGTATGCCTTTGGTACATACATGCATCCATAAGCTTAGAATAGCAAGAAACAAATTAAAGAAACCGCAACTAGTACAAAGTACATACATATAAGAATCACTGATTTTGATTTCTCAAACTACTGAACATGAAACTATAACATGGCCACAGCGTCATTGAACATTAAAATGGCGTTTAGCTAGTGATGTAGTGATCAAGATGAAGCGATTGATGACATCTTTATTTATTAACTAGTTGATAAACTGAGTTGTACTGCTTCAGTGAAGCTTGAGGTTTCTCATCCTGCAAAGCATGCAAAATTACATGGGGTTAGCTTTAGCTGAAAATCAACGCTAGCTTTGATCAACTTGGGTGGATGGTGGTATTGGAAGTCAGTGTATATAGTCTTATTAGAGCATGGAATGAGATGGAAAATAAAACTTGGTGGTGTTAAAAAATAGTTGTGTATTTTAAGCAGAAGTTTCATAGTGCACGAAGTCAGAAAGTAGTAATAAATAATAGTAATTTTTGTTTAGGTGGAGGACTTAGACAATACTGTATGTTTTTATACAATATAAGACTACCTCTTTTCCTCATCACTCATGTGGTGGCCATGGCTGTTCCCACCAGTAGTCCTGTAATCTGGGAAGGGCACCTGGCCTGACTCAATATGCTTGACATCTTCCACAAGAACCTCATAGTGCCTCTTGACTTCCTCCGGTGTTTTGCCGCCGACCGCTTTGGCCACATTGTACCAGCGGTCAGCAGTGTCCTTGTCGTAGACAGCCAGAGCCTTTTCAAAGGCTTTGTTTTGCTTGGCAGTCCAGGAGGAGCCAGAGCCTCTTGAGGACATTGAGCTTGATGCCATTGAATAATTTCTTAGAGTAAGATGGTTTTCTATAAACACTATAGTGAAAAGCTTGGAAGGAAAATTAAGGAGAGAGAGAAGGGAGAGAAGACCTAAGTGAAGGGAAGTGTGTGATATGAGCTGAGTGCTGGCAATACCTGCTCTTTATAAGGAGGGGGAGTGGGGGTGAGGTGGGGTAGTGCCAGTTGGCAAAGAGATCTTGGAAAAATGAAGGGGAATTTGAATGATTTGTCACCTTAGCTACCACAAAATTATTTCAATGAAGAAATAGTACTAGGACAAAGATGGAGAACTACATTGCAAGGAGAGAATCAGTATCTCCAAGATTTTTTTTTTTTTTTTTTTGGTCAAGATTTTTTTATAGATAGAAGAACCAATAAAGCTGATTGAAGTCATTTTCTTTCTTTTTGTCTATCATAAGTTATTATTCACAATCCGAAAATGTAACATTGCACTCTAAGAATTTTTTAGTTGATATAAAAACTTTTTTTTAAAAAAAAAAAAAGTGCAAGATTTCAACCAAAGAAAAAAAGAAGCAAGATGGTTGTTCTGGAAGGGAGATCTTTGCTCATCACCTAAGTGTTGGAGCATCACGTCACTTACGGTCTAGTGGTGATCGTCTTCACCTGTAAGTGAGAGGTCTTAGATTCAATTCTCACCCAAGGCAAATTTGAACCACATTATTGCTAGCCCATGTGAGGCAAAGCTCACCCCCTTCCTATCGTTTGTTAAAAAAAAAAAAAGTTGGACCATCACTACCATATGAAGGCCTTGTTTAGGATAAATAATTAGGTAAGATTCAAGATAAGACACTATTTTCATGGTATATGTTGGAGGAAGAAATGAAAAAAAATGTGACCAACTTAGAGGTAAAAGATGAATTACGCTAGGAGAAAAACTCCCTCTAATCCTCCCTTAAATGGTAGGATTAGAAAGGAGAAGTTTTATTCATGTTTATTACTCTTCCAATCCATTAAAAATGAAAAACGTTCTCTTCTGCTTTCAACATGTCTTCAATTTAGAGGATTATCAATTTTCATCAAGTCTGCTATAATAAAATGGAATTAGGGATAAGCAGTCAATCCTTTATACTAAACAAGTCTTAAATTTCATTAATTAGATGAAATAAAGTTTCGATATGTATGTGTACTAGATAGAGTAAATCAGTGTCACTTAACCACAGTTAGTGTAACAGTGATGCTCACTACTACTAAGGTTGGTGTCTTTTTGGAGTCTGAATAACAACTTTGTTTTCTGAGAAGAGTCGAGCACAAAAACCTAGAAGTTTTTCTCTTGCTTATTTTCCAAATTAACTTTTAAACCTAGAAATTAGCAAATTGAAGCTACTTGGTCTCCATCATAGAAGTTTGCCTTCTTGATTAGAAAAATGGTAGTTTTGTAAAGTATCTTTAGAAGATAAAGCATACCAATAAGGGAAAAAACAAAGTAGAAATTCTCATGGTGAGAGTCTCTTCATCCATTGAGATATCCTTCATATTATAGAGAAATTTTCCAGTGTGCTGCATATACATGGCCCGTAACAACAAATTTTATAATATAAATAGTTGGAAACTTTCTTTTTAAAGCATCCAACCACCTATAACTGGGATCAAAATGCAGAATTTGATTCCGATTATGGGAACTACCTTTGTTTACTAAGCTTTGGAGAATAAAAAGAAAAGTGAGACCCACACAAAATAAGGAATTCAATTCCTCATTTTGAATGAAGGAATTGGACTCCTTAATTTGAGGTGGTAATCCAATTTTGCGAGTATGGAGGAATCGAAAACAATTTTTCTTCCCATTACAACTTAGATATTTACTATAATTTCCTTTTCTTGGGTTGTATTTCTTGAATTTCATGTTTCTTTAATAAACATATAAATTAAAAGAAGACAAATAATTAATGTTCAAATAATTAATGTTTATAGGGTAATTACTATTATTAAGATTTTATTATGTTCCAAAAATATCACTAATGATACAAGAAATACGTTATTTAGAACAAAAGTATTTTAGTAATCATATTCATTTCTATTATGTGGATTCGTAAATAATTTATATGAACTCAGTTTCATTCTTACTCTAATTCCTCAACATTTAAGCAAGCAGTTTCAATATGAATATGATTCTGATTCTTCCCCGTTCCAACTCCTCAATTACATTCCTCTTATTTAAATTACGTAAATGAGTCATTACTGTAGCGGATTGTATTCATGTTACATTGAAAAATCTCTCTTGATTACATCACTTCCTCTCTGTTTTATTCTCTAACTTTGTAGGATTTTAATGTGGGGCCCCCATTCTCAAACCACAGTCAATCAGATTGACCGTACTAAACTTTCACGTGTGCATGACAAGCCATTTTTCTCTCTTTATTTTTTCCCACCTTTATTTTTGTATCTTTTTTTTTTTTTTTTTTTTTTTTTTTTGAGGATTTAAGTAAATTGGGAGGCCTGTGTTCTCCGCAGTACAAGTGATCTTGCTAATTAGTGTGCTGTGTCCTGAACAACGTTCCAAGCACTCTAGCTGGCGGCCTGCTGAGTCCGTACAATGATGCAATTGTGTTTTTCTCTGAGAATAGGTCAATATATATAATGTTACCCACTCTTCAGCAGTTCGGGACCCTTTCTGATATAGTTTGGTCATTTGGCACAGAAAACTTAGTCATATTATTCACTATGTAGTTAAAAAAGAAGGGGGAAATGTACCAATAAAATTGGCTACAATTTTTATCAAAAAGTAAATTTGACAAAACAATAAGTCGTGTATATAAATAACGGTTAAGTGTCCTCTGTTTGTTTATGTCCCTCAAATTTTATTTTTTTCTAAAAAGAATGTCTAGATAATTGGTTGAATTGAACTTGAACTCTTAAATCATTATGTTATGTTGATTTTACACAAAAAGTTAAGATTGATTTGCTATTGCTAATTGTCATTTGAATCACAACATCAACGAACAAAACCAAGTTTTTCATGATTAATTGACAATTGAAGTATGTAGTAATGTAGAAAACAATTTTTGTAGATATCTAGTTTCTAGGATAGTAAATAGTAATTTTATCTGATCCAAATTTGTCGTTCATGAGAGTTGAACTAGTGAAATCAATTATTTCATGATGTTCATGATTTTGACCCTTTCATGTGCCAAACAGGTCTAAAGTTAAATCGAGAAATACAAATTTCTGTACTGATATATATAACAAGCATATCCACATAACGATCTCCTTTACTTTGTCCTTAGCTGTTGCTGCCGGATGGTACATTGGAGTCACAAACACTAGCCATACATCCTGCCACTTGCCATTCAAATTTTAGCTTATTTTGATCCATAAATCATTGTTCTTCATTTCTATATTTGGTTATTCCTCATATAAAATAAAAAATTGGCTTAAGTTTAACCTCTGTCTCTGGGATGAACAAACAGTTTGAAGCTGGGTGGCTGTTAGTCTGTTTTTTGGCATCTTTTAATGAACTCATGGGCAGCCGATTGCAATAATGTGATAGAATCGTTTACTGGCCACAGTTAAAGTGGCCTAGTTGTGGTTTTTTTTGAAACTTCGCACATTTACATGTATACACCCATATTCATATTTCTCGCCTTATGTGACTACTAGTCATGTGATGAGAGAGATAAATTTATTTTATACATCGGTTGCACCTAAGACATGGAAAGTGTATGTTTCCATACTTCTTACATCAGATGTGTATAATATTCTGTGTTGAGTACCTGTGAAGCTAGCATCACCAACACGCTGGTGATTCCGAAGAAAACGATATGTTAGACTAAGAACACCATAATGGTGTACTAGCTAGTTGCATATTTTGTTTGGCAGATTATCTATAGTCGGTGAACAAGATATAACTTGCATAGCACCACAGGGTTAAGGAGTATCTAATTTAAGAGAGTGACAGCATTAGGTGAAGAGAATATCTGTTTAGAACAAAAAGTCAAGTGTGAGGAATCCGATTTTAGAAGGGAGACAATGTGATACCATGGCTTTAATCTGCAACTTGGTTAATGTAGCCCAACCTATGGGTCTACATTTTGCACAAATCCTGCCACTAGACCTTAGTTTAGTCAGTTTACAAACTTCTGTGATCCAGAACCAGTTTGTGTATCCAGGGACATAAGATTTGGAGTGCCAGCCAAAAAGGATATTTCAGTATTTGGAAATATTTCTCAGTGACTGAACCTTTTCTTTTTCTTGAATACTTCTCAGTGACTGAACTTAGTTGCCTCTCTAAATCTCAAGAAACGTTTGCAGGGCTTAATGAACCATACTTTTGGGAATAACAAAAATGGCAGTGACTGTCTTACTATCACATAGTGTTACTACTTCATGTATTATATGTAGTATGAGCCAACAACAAGGTTTACATTTGATATCAGTTTGTCATCAAACATAATCTCGAAAACCCTATTCCTCTGCACACGCATTTCTGTGTCCTCGTGCTATTCTAATGAAAAGTCCTATAGTAAATAGATCTCTTATCTTCATATCAAACAAAGACTAGGATTTTTTGGCTGATCAAATGCAGAAGGTATATTAATCGAAACATCGAAAATAAAAGTGGCCTCCATTGTCAAGTTGCATCAATAATGGTCGTGGTATACTGGCCACATGCTAATGGGGCTATCACTTATCATTAGCTGAAAACTACTTTGACCAACTTTCTATGGATCTATACGAAATTTTAATAAAGTAATGCTTTGAGATCGATACACCCTCTTAACGATATTTGGAATCCTTATCATCCCAGTCTATCTCCAATAGAAAGCAAAATCTCTTAGATTCCTCCTCTCTTTCAGGACTAATTCTTCTGGCGGTTGTGGTCCTTCCTTACAAGTTGGAGAAAGTGGTTAACCTTGGACTCTTTTGGCCCCTCCGTTGCTAGAATTTTGTGCTTATGATTTCCATAATTGGTTTGGTTAATGATGCACATAGTACTTACCTAAAATATCTCAGACTTTCCTTTGATTAACATGCGAGCGGGGGAGCTAACTCCTAAAACCCTTTCCCAATTTGGATTGTAGGCTGCAACTCTCATGCATGTAGCTGAAATCACTAGTAATTGAAGGTCAATCATAGGGCGGACTTCAAATTTGGGACCTCTTC